ACGTAAAAGTAGCGATTAAAAACAAAGCAATTTATTTTTATTCATTATGCCTTCTGTGTGTTTTAGTTTTACTCTTTCATACGTCAATAAACCTGTGGACAATGGACAACTGTCTCCAGAGTTGTGATGTCAGGAAGGAGTTTGTCTAACTGCCAAGGTGTATCACAGCACATATACTGAGGGCAACATAATATTATTTTTGGACATTTTAAGGAGCAAACCATTAAGGGATTAATCTAAAAAATAACTGACCAGTTTTAGCCTCAAGTGGTGATTTCGGGGTTCAAGCCACCATGGCTGGCTAAAAGTTGCAAGAATCAAGACCTTTGACAGCGTACAACACCTACATTAAAGATAACAATTCATTTTTTTTTTTAAATGTATTTATTATTTGTTATTTATTTATTATTGGTCATTTTCAGAAACAATTTGGGGATGTGCTTTAATAGCATAATTAAAAATATCCATCCAGTCTGGTGACGTTTGGACAAACTGTCTTTGATTTATGGCCAAATTTTGCACCAGGCGATTGCATTTATTTGGAATTGATGGCGTCCCCTATTGATATTTTTGAAATAATTTTACACACATGGTTCAACGTTGTAATAAAACAAATCCTGCGATTTTGTAGTGATTGGACAGTTTCCTTTCATGTGTTATACCATGCTCAAGTTTTGCATTTATGGCGCCCCCTTGAGATCATATTGAATGAAACTTTATGGTATGTGTCAGGTACTAATGTGGACATATCCTGTAAGTTTCCTGATGATTGGCCAAATGGTAATGATATGGGGTCAGATCAGTCTCATAATGAATGAACTCGCGCAGGGTTTTTCACGAATGCACATGCTCTGGTTCACAGTTGTATTTTGGACTCACTAATGCACACAATCTGTTTCGCAATGCACACGCTCTGGTTCACAAATATAATGTTTATGCAAACTTGTAATATAAATTCGGAAATGCACATGATCTGTTTCGCAAATGCACACACTCTGGTTCACAGTTGTATTTTGGACTCACTAATGCACACAATCTGTTTCTCAATGCACACGCTCTGGTTCACAAATATAATTTTCATGCAAACTTGTAATATAAATTCAGAAATGCACATGCGCTGCTTCACAAATATTTTGAGGCACACTTGGAATATAAATTCAGAGATCATGCGAATTGCTGAATGTGCATTTACAAACTGCTTCTCATTTGTGAACCTCTCTACATTTGTGAAAGAAATCTGTGTGGTGAATTTTGAGACTCCCCTGATGTCGCAGGTCAATGAACGTCACCATTGGCTGATAAATCTGTCAATCAAATTCATGATTCTGATTGACAGATTCATCAGTTAATCAGGTGTGTTCACTTTCAGCCAATCGTATGGCTCCTTATATAGGGTGTATTCATAGTTTATGTTCATTCAAACACGTTACTTGGCTAAGCAGAACGCTTCAACTCATTATAATTCAACAACACTGCATGATTTACGAGGGGATAATAAGAAAAATGCGTTACTTACAGGTTGAGATTGATCCATGTCTCTTCCACCGTTTCAGTTTAGCGCGTCTTGATTGAACACTGCAAACAGTAGCTCAGTAGCTCTGCGACTGGTTTAAAAGTGTGGAGAAAATGTAAGGAGCCATACGATTGGCTGAAAGCGAACACACCTGATTAACTGATGAATCTGTCAATCAGAATCATGAATTTGATTGACAGATTTATCAGCCAATGGTGACGTTCATTGACCTGCGACATCAGGGGAGTCTCAAAATTCACCACACAGATTTCTCTCACAAATGTAGAGAGGTTCACAAATGAGATGCAGTTTGTAAATGCACATTCAGCGATTCGCATGATCTGTGAATTTATATTACAAGTGTGCCTCAAAATAATATTTGTGAAGCAGAGCGTGTGCATTTCCGAATTTATGTTACAAGTTTGCATAAAAATTTTATTTGTGAACCAGAGCATGTGCATTTGCAAAACAGATGGTGTGCATTAGTGAGTCTCAAATACAACTGCGAACCAGAGCATGTGTATTCGTAAGAAACCTTGCATGAGTTCATTCATTATGAGACTGATCTGACCCCATATACTGGAGTTAGAGCTATTTATGTGCGGAGCCACGGCCCATTGGTCCGTTTCTTCAAAATGAAATAAGATATCAAAAGCTTTTGATAACTTTTGATAAGCTTGAGACAGATGTCAAAAACGTGTCTTTCAAAAATTTAAAAATGGTGGAAAATCTAGTCAGGCAGGCTTCAAAGGTTCTTGAGGCTTTTGTAGAGCACATTGAGCTGAACTTGTATGTCAAATTTAAAGTCAGCCTGATTAACAATGTGAGGACCATGGCCTTTCCAAAACTGATATTTTTTTTATGTCAATTACAGTACCAGCATCAGACTCATTGGGGTCATACGTTTTGGGCAGCATTTGGTCACACTTCCAATCATTTGGCAAAGTGTCATGTGTTTACGATGTACCATCTCATGAGAATTTGTACAAACACTTCTGAAGAAAAACTTGAACTCCTAATTAATCAAATATAATTGTTAGTTGCTACGCCAGATCAGATATGTGAAGACACTGGGGAAGATCCAGTGAGTGCCAGTAAGGTTGGGTTTTTCACACAACTTACCAATACTGTATTCAGGAGAGGAAACAAGTAGCTAACGTATCTGGAAAGGGCTTATTTGGTTGAAAACTACTAAATACTGAGGCCAGAGTTGAGAAAGGAGAGAGCGTAGATTGGAATTGCACCATCTCTCAAACAGAAACAAGCTTGACAGGGAATCCTGTCTGAAGAAAGAAATGTGATCATAACAGAAAATGGAACTCTGATATGATCCAGAGTTTCTGAGACGAACTGCTGGCCTGTACAAAACACAGTCCATTGTTTTTCATACCTGATGACACACACGCTCAGACAAAGATTGCTTTATTTGAAGGACTGCATTCCAAAACCGCAACAGAGCAACATTGTTTATGTGTGAAGGTGCAGAAAGGAATGTACAGACCTGTTGACAGGTAAGACCAAACAACCCCTCCACCAATATATACACTGCTCAAAAAAATAAAGGGAACACTAAAATAACACATCCCAGATCTGAATGAATGAAAAATTCTTATTAAATACTTTGTTCTTTACATAGTTGAATGTGCTGACAACAAAATCACACAAAAATTATCAATGGAAATCAAATTTATTAACCCATGGAGGTCTGGATTTGGAGTCACACTCAAAATTAAAGTGGAAAAACACACTACAGGCTGATCCAACTTTGATGTAATGTCCTTAAAACAAGTCAAAATGAGGCTCAGTAGTGTGTGTGGCCTCCACGTGCCTGTATGACCTCCCTACAACGCCTGGGCATGCT